TTTTTCGTTGAGTGGGCAGAACTCTTGTAATGCACTCTTAACCAAGAAATGATGGTCAGTTGTCGAGAGAGCCCTTTTTAATCCAATCTTGGCATTGAAATCTCCAATGTTGACCTTGAGGAATGTGTGGTCTTCTCTGTAGAACCTCTCCAAGTCCATATAGAACGCTTCAGCTTCTTCTTCGTCATAGTTTGAAATCGGCGCTTAAACGACTGAGATTGTCAAAGCCGATATTGATCTACATCTTTTTAATCATAAATGTCCAATTCGGGTTGTAAGCTGTTCGAATGAATCAATGTTCATGACCAACCTCGTGTTGACGAGAACGCCTACGCCGCCGACTCCTCTACTGCCGCATGTTCCAGGGAACAGTTCTCCGGTGTCATAGATTGTGTTGAATAGATGGCGTCTTCTCGTCTCAGCCAGGCCGATGAAGTCGCACCTTATCCTTCTTTCTTGCACGAGCAAGTCTTCTATCGAGGACTCGGATGCAAGTGTACGTGCGTTGTAGGTAGAGATCGTCACCATAGTTCTTTGAAATCCAGACACCTTCCATTGGTCCTGAGATTTTGGCAGCCTCTCCGTATTCGTCCTAACCAGTGCTGCGAAATTGGGGGCTCTTTTGGGGTCAGGTGAATGAGGCCCGTTCTTTTTGCTGTACTTAGCATTTTTTGGTACCCAAGTATAGCTTGCTGTCCTCTGAACGTGGGGCTCGGTATACTCACTGGTAGCTTGCCAGTCGTCCCAGAGTAGACGTCAAGCTTACTTTTTGGAGGCGCCTCCTATCCGCCTCCCGTATACTTCCCTGTCACTTGATTGCAGCCTTTTGGCGAACCGACTCGTACAGTGCAGTCTTGGTAATCGAGAACACACCCACGTACTCATGCATGAATACGCCTCGTAAATACAGAAAGTGTATGCCAAATGGGGACAGCAGAAACAGGGAGTCCATCCCCTGTATCCACCTGTGTTTCGGAAAAGCAAAAGTCGCTTTTGGTCCGCGATTACCCACTAACTGCCACCTGGGGGCGCGCCAAGTGGTCTCGCGACTAGCCGGCTCGAGATCCTTTATATAAGGAAGACCTAGAAAGTCATCTTGATATAGTAAAAACACTTATGCTGTAGGCGGAAGAAACTCTGGATCACAATAGTTTAGATCTCCTACCATACCATGGAACATGAAAGAGTCTTTGATAAGCTCGCACAATGGCTTATCGTATGTTTTCTTGGGTCCTAGCTAGCGATTGTTTATTTTATTGGAAATTTCGTCTAGGAACTCGTCCAACACCGCCATGCTTTGTGGCAAATGGATGAGCCTGTGTCAAATGCGGCATCTAAGACCTTCCTTTCGTTTGCCTATTCCGTCTTGAGGATATTCGCGGCTTATCTCTTCGGGGTCGGCAAATTGGTACCAAACTTGTCTGGGAGACGGCACTGGCTTGATACGTCGGTAGGCCACCGCCATTGTACAGGCCAGATATGCATTCAATCACCTCCAACGTTAGTCGGAGGTCGAATGCATGGCGCATCCCTCAGGGATTGATCAGCGCCGACGGCTTAATCCTTATTATCAATTCTTATATTTGGTAAAATAATAACTCATCCACCACCCCGGTAGCGTTCCGCAATACATATGAGATCGACTCAGCGTCCCGGGCTCACAAAGAGCTCCATCCCTACCGGGTGGGCGTTTTCGTAGACAGACTTAACCGACAGGATAGCCGCACTGACCCAATACATCAGCAGGCCACCGTGAGTTTAATAGGCAGATATGCATTTAATGACTTCTAACGATGCTCATTGAAGTGTAATGCATGGCGCATCCCTCAAGGATCAACCAGCGCCGAGGGTTTTTCCTTTTTTATCCATCACCCAGTCTGTTGAAATCTCTGACAGCATCATAAAATGCCTAAGAACAAATGATGGCCGTGTGAAACAAATCAGAGCTGACAAATGAGAATAAGACGTTGACTCGGAAGCCACAGAACACGCATACTGGACGCAAAATGTCTATCGCTGAGTTTCATCGTATCCTACTGATATAGGAAGTGGGTTATACCTTTCCATTGTTGTTTTCGTAGATGGCACCTTGAAGCACTCTTTTCACCTTCGCTTTTTCACTTTCCTCTTTTTCTCTTTCATACCGATTTTTGGAAAGTCAAAGGTGTCATTTCACATCCTTCTCTTTTTATTAAAGACAACTACACGTACAAAATATAAATAAATTGACGTCTATGGCCACATGGATCGGCGACGGGACATCGTATACTGTCACAGTTGACAGAATGTCTTCATATATGTACAACATCAGACTATTAGTGTACAGTGTGACATCAATGAGTATGCGATTTTCGACATAACCCCAGGGTGATTGCGAAGAAGTACCAGCATCGCAGAATAAGCCTTTCGACGCCGTGAGTGGTTGTGTATTGGTGTGCACCGCTGTATGCACAGCGGCGACCAATCACGTGCGAGTAGGTGATCTCCACAACGTATTTATAAATTACTACCTTTTAGCAAGGTCTATCGAGGTCCGTATTGCAATTAGCAAATTACAATAACAAAAACATCTACTAACGAACAAGTGCAATACACGACTACACAATAGTTAAGCGTAGTTAAGATAAAGTGAAGTGGCCTGCACTAATGTAAAAAGACAGCACAGCAATGAAATCAGCGTAAAATTGCACACGTTCACATCGGTTATAGTACACGAATTCTAACAGAGAACGGGAGAGATCCGAACCCGACTAGGCCATTTAAGAAAATTAATCCGCGATCTGAGATCTATTGAACATGGATATGAAACACCGGGTATGGGTATGAATCATATTAAATCGATATTTTCGCAAAACTCTTTCCTCGGTGATAACACTGTTTGTTTAATATTTTCCTCTTTGAAATGTGTTCTCGATTTCAAACATTTTGCAGTGAATTTTAAATGACGATCGATGCTGCAATGGTTCAGCAATCCCTAATTAACCTTAGCGGACTTCAAACAAACAGCATTGATTCCAAGAGTTAGGGAGACTTCGGAAACGTTTCACAGATTAGATAACAAGGTGAACCAAATTATTTGCAAAGAAAACAGTCATTGGTTGGATTGCTGCTATTAAGTTAGTAAGCTAGTAGAAATACGGCGACAAAAGATTGTGGTTCAACTATTGATGACGACAGTGGAAGAAACACTGCACTAGAGCCCGCGATTTTCTTGAGACCACCTAACCTCTCTTCGTGTGATGGTTGATGATCTTCGAGATGAGCAACGGTAGTTCGCTGACGTTGTCCAGCTGAAATTCTTATTTATTCCAAAATGATCTCTTAGAGTGAGTCGTTTTCATTGTCATTCCATGAATTCTAACGAAAATCATATATCTTCTTTTTATTTGTTGCCTATTCTTTTTAACGGTAGAGCATTTTTGCGAAATATAACTACTATAATGGTGCAATATTTGCAAAACTCCGGACCGCAGGTGTATGCGGTGGGGAACGAACGCGCACTATTGTCTTTTCCGGTGAGTAGCGCACTTCACCATCACACCATGCAGATCCTTCGTTTCGCTTGTCTCTCAGCCAGTTCTATCGATCTTTTGCCATCAGCAATCACCAGTCAACGGGATTGATCTGGGAAGCCCAAATCGGCATTGAGCCCAGTTAAGCTGAGGCTATAGTCATAATCACAATCTTAACGTTTTTATTTACTGCCTATTCTTTTTAACGGCAGGGTATTTCTGCAAAATATAGCTATTATAATGCTGAGATATTTGCAAAATTCCGGACCGCAAATCTCTGCGGTAGGGAACGGTGCCAATGGCAAAAGTTCGATAGAACTAGCTGAGAGACAGGCGAAACGAAGGACCAACTAGTTCTATCGAACTTTTGCCTGTGGTGGTGAACGCGTTACTCCCCGGAAAGGACAGTAGCGCGTTCGTTCCCCACCACAGACACCTGCGATCCGGAGTTTTGCAAATATCTCAGCATTATAGTAGAAAATCATATACTTTTGCTTCATCCTATAGTATGGAACCATTTTTACGACGATGCCTCACTATTTCATGGTTGGCCCAGTTACATATTTTATCTACTTTAGCACTTAGGTGATTCATGTTGCCATGTTGTGCTGGTTCCAGCATTTCTATTCGGTTCCTTCTTTTACTAACGAGATTCATAGAAGTGGTGGGGCAGTGGGTATCTAGACGTTCACCTGGAACTTCAGGCCTTCTCCCTTTGTGCATAACACATTGAATGCTGGTCGAGTTTGAATATTCTGGAAGCCCGAGATAGCTAAGCCGAGACATTCTCCATTCCTCCTCGTCGGCATTTGCTGAGCTTTATGTATTCAATGGAAATTTGCTGCCCTGCACTCTGACCACTCGAGGACGGTAGCATTTGGGTGATGACTGCATTGTCTGCAATTAGTTGATGGAGAGCTCGAGAGCGATGTGACTACGAAATCTCAGCAGAATCTTAGGATGGGTTAAAATATTCGACTTCACGAACGATTCCCTCCAATGTTGTCATTGAATTGACAGAACCACAGGGTTCCTTAAGATTAGTGGAACGTTCCAGACAACCATCCACTTGTAATGAGATCCATTCGTTAGGAAGAACAAATTCCCATTCATTTGCTCTTTTTCAAAGTTTCCACCATTGTTGAAAGTCTCGGCGGCGCTACAGCATATGTTCTGGCAACTAGCCACTTTGCACTTTCTTCATCTACAGAAAAGCTAACGAGTTGCATAAAATATCGAGTCGAAGCAAGAACTGTTGTTAATGGAGACAAACGAACCCCGCGTGATATGCTAGTAAACGCGTTAGCCCTCCGAAAGGGTAATAACGCGTTCATCCCCCACCGCAGTTACCTGCGGTCTGGAGTTTTGCAAGCATATATGTCAGCATCATTGTGGCTCTTAATGGAATCTAACCATCCAATTTGCTTATTAGGAAAGTTTTCTGATATTCTGGTAAAATTTTTCAAATATACGACGCTTTCATATTTATTAAAACGTGTAAAGCATTCTTACGAAGTAATCAGTGTACTCCTTAAGTGTGTCTCTATTGCCGACACCAGTTAATACACCAACCGTACACCTCAGTCCAGCCACACGACCCATTTTGAGATCCGCAATGGTATCACCGACCATTATCGTCTGCTTAAATACCAAAAATTAAAGAAGAGTTTAAAAGAAAGAATAAATGATTTATAGCCGACATTGAAAAAACTCCCCAACAGTCTTGAAATTCCATGGGCTAATTAAGTTTGTGGGCTAGTTTAAAAAAACATTGACCCATCTGAATTCAACATAAGATGGCATAAATTTTATAAATGTATATAAAGTGACTTAAAATAAGCCTACAGATTCTTCAAGAAATTGTTCGAAATAAAAACAAGAGGTAAGGTAATTTGCTTCAATGCAGTTTGTGAGCAAAAAAACTCTCAGAGTCCCCCAAAAAGAGATGACGGTTCAAAATTCATTTCAATTAAACTCTAGTCCAAATTTTTCGTAACTTTGCAGGCATTACAAAGTTGGAAAAACTTGAAGAAAAAAAGGAGGTGTCTCTTCTTTCCTTAGCAATAAAACTGTATAATCTGAGTTTTATACACATACATACGTAGTTTAGAAGTAACAATACATATATATATATATATATATATATATATATACGTGTACAACACTCCATTATAGAGGGATATTATACCGGTTATTCGCAAGGTTNAACCTTGCGAATAACCGGTATAATATCCCTCTATAATGGAGTGTTGTACACGTATATATATATATATATATATATATATATATATATATATACGTGTACAACACTCCATTATAGAGGGATATTATACCGGTTATTCGCAAGGTTACGAGGACTGCCTCGCGTGGTTGATACTTGGCTTAATGAAGACCACAAACAATCTTATGCTTCTCTGAGAGCGAATGTATCCAGGAAGTAGAATTCCCCTCTCTGCCGTGGCAAATTGGCACATACTTTTTGTGTTTACGAGAACATATACATACATTCGTGCGTGGGTGTGTTTTCATTTATGCGGATTGTATTCTACAAGTAAACTCGGCCAAGAGCCTACAATTATGTAAGAGGAAAGTATGTGGGAGGTGCTTAGGAGTCGCCTCCAATAAAAAAACACCCACTTATATCTACTCTGAAAGAGACTGGAAAACCACCCATGAGTATATCGAGTCCCCCTTCCTAAGAGCTCAGCAAGCTATACGCGGGTATGAAAAAGCGAAACACAGTAAAATAAACGAGCTTCATTTTCCTGACCCCAAAAGAGTCTCCGATTTGGCAGTATCGGGTAAGACGAGTGCGGAGAGCGCTAAAATCTCAGGGCCATTCTAGGCTGCCTAAGTCGCAAAGGAACTATACCGACAATTCACGATCATTTGCATCTGAGTCCTCGACAGAGAACTTGGTCATGCAAGCAAGAAGGATAGGTTACAATGAAATCGGACTGATTGAGATAAGATATCGCTTATTCGACATTTTCTATGGCATCGGATAATAACTGCTCCTCGGAATATTTGACGATAGAGGATTGGGCAGTATTCACGCCAGCACGAGTTTTGCTATGAATATCGATTCATTCGAACAATTAGTAACCTAGAACGGAAGTTTGGGTTTAAAGTGATGTGGCTCAATACTGGTTTTCACGCTGTCACAAATACGAAGTCGTAGCGTTCTATATGGATGTGGAAAAATTCTACAAGGAAAACCATACACTCTTTATGGTCGTCACAGGAGATTTCGACGCTAAGATTGGACTCAGAAAAATGTCTGAAGAACGACAAATAAGAATCACGGACTAGAATGGAACAACCAGGGTGAACGGCTGTCCGATTTATTCAGGACTACCAAGACCATCCATGGTTACTTGCAGTTCTACAAGCCCCACCCTCAGCGCTGGACGTGGGAGTCTCTCAATGGTGAGTACCAAAACGAAGTAGACCACATCATAGTAAATAGAAGGTTTTGCCTAACCGACGTCGCTGTTGTCCCAAAATTCTACACGGGATCAGACCATCGCCTCTTTCGTGCGAAATTCGAATCCTTGCAGAAAGGAGAAAAGCCGCCAAATTCAAAAAACGAAGTCACAAAGTACAATAAACTCGCATATGTTCAGTTCAGTAGTGGGCTGCTGGAAAGACGCTGTTCTCGATAACATCGACAAGGAATATGATCAGCTAATTCAACATTTTCACGGCAGCGCTGTGAAACCTGCGAGTTTAAAAGTCACAAGAAATCTGCGTCTTCATGAACACCACTGCTGATACGCCATCGTGTGGAATCACACGAACTGCAGGCAACCGCCAACTCGTGTCCGAACTTTGAAAACAATGGAGACAGGTGGAAAAAGAAGATCTTAAAAAAAGAAGAACAGCAATATGGTTGAAGCTGCAGAGGATGGAAAAAGCATTCGTAAAGTCCGATGAATTTTCGTCAATTGCAAAGCAAAGATCATTGCACTTCGACGCCCAGGCGGAACAGTTAGAGCGTCCAGAAAGGCAATGGAGAAAACCATTCACGAATACTACTCAGATCTCTTCAATGGCCACGTCCATCTTTCGTCATATGAAATAAAGGAGGATGGATATGTTGTACCCCGGTTCTCGCTTCCGAAATCCGACATACCACTTCGTCGGTGAAAAATCGAACAGCACCGGACCCGCACAGGATAAGATTTGAACAGCTAAAAACCTCCTGCAAGTCCTCAACAACACATTGATCCAGCTCTTCACATGTTCACTGTCAAAATGCAAGGTTCTCACCTGTGTCATACTATGCACGATTCACAGAATAGTGGACGAAACACAGCCAAGTGAGCAACTTGGGTTTCGAATGAAATTCATTACGATGGGCCACTTCCGCACGAAAGGAAGGCTCACTGAAGTACCGCGAGAGTAAAGGAGACCACTCTACCTCACTTTTATCGAATTAAAGAAGCCTTTTGACTTAGTCGAGATAAAAACAATCATAGAAGTCCTATACTGTCAGGGCGTCCATACTCAGTATATCATGATTTTTCGCCAGGTAAATAAAAATTCTGAGAACGAGATATCACCATTCCATAACGGTATTAACAGCGATATCAAATTAGAGGGCGCGTGTGGCGAAGTGCTAGGAGGCGCCCTGCAACACACAAGTAGAATCGATCGCCGAGTCCATGGCCCACGAAGCCTTCATCTCTCCGGGGTCGGTAAATTGGTATTAGACTTGTGTGGGAGAATAGCAGCACTGGCTCGGTACATCGGTAGGCCACCGCGAGTCATTGTAAAGACCAGATATGCATTCAATCACCTCTAACGATACTTAATGAAGTTGGATGCATGGAGCATCCCTCAAGGATTGATCAACGCGGAGTGTTTATCCTTTATCAAATTAGAAGCTAGGCAAAGCGATGCCTTCTTGCCAAAATTACTAACTGCTACTCTCGAGAACGTAATACGAATGTTAGAATGAGACACCATGGGACAGAAAAGCGATGGTCGGTAATTACACCATCTCTGCTTTGCTGATGACATCGTTCTTCTAGCACCAAACATTAGACAAGTGGAACTAATGCTTGCACACTTTGATAACCCTTGTGGAAAGAATGATCTTCGACTAAATCTCATATAAACGATTTTTGAGGAATGGATCGATTTAGCACACCGCATTCACCTTCAGCAGAACCAATGTTTCCGAATGCTTAAGATAAAACGCCTTAGCTCCATAGTTGAGCTGGAGTAAGCGAGCAACGTGGAAGCTCTCAATTTTTTCAGGATGTAGCGACAAGATGAATGAACACCTGATTCCGTCGTACCCACCGTCCTGTCTTCTCGATTCTTCTCACCACATAGCATGCACAAGAATCCTGGCTGCTACGTAAGCAGATTAAAGGATCACTCAACTTTATTGAACGCTTATTCGAAAAGACGACGAGAAGAGACTTCCGAATTATGCATGTGAGGAAAGGAATCCGAAGTTCCGATCTAGGTCAACGATGAAAAACCAAAGACGACGTTCTATGCGCCAAACTTTCGATGATAAAGTGACGACGGTATGTAATGAGGATGAAGGAGAACCGACGAACAAAGCCGTTAACGACTGGTTTCTTCGGGAGTTCAAACATTCAGTAAGAAGACCAGTGTCACAGTGGTCCGTGTTCTTCGCGAAAACATCGGAAAAGAAGATATGATTCTCAACGAGTACTTAGAGCAAGTAGAACCCACTGGACCACTCTTGCACGTGCCAGGGAAAAATGGAAGAGTTACTGATGCCCGCTCGAGCCGCTCAACGATCAACGCGAAAACAGCTGGCACAGGTAGCAGATTATATATATTTATATGTATATATAAATATATATGGAATGAGCATATATATTTAGAAACCATGTCTTCCTAATTTCTATTAATTCCGACAATCGCCATGGAGTGTTTCCAGAACTTCGACTCCGGCAAATGTCGAACTTTTGGCGTGAAAGGCTTTCTGTGAACTCCTGACAACCGTTTAGAGAAGTTTGATGACCATATAATCAGCCAGTCATTGGTTAATCCTCGTTTAATTTTCGATTTCTAGAAAAAGAATTCGAAGCCTTGTAAAAACTTAAGTTGGTACGAAATTGAAGCGAATGTAATTAAATACTTATCAAACGGCACGTGATTCATAGAAAAGAATGCGAAAAAAATAGTAATAATAATAATAATAATAGTAACAGTAATAGTAATACGGAGTAGCGCAGTGGTAACTGATGGCGCCGATTAGGAAGCAAAGCCGCGAGTTCGACTCCATCCTCAACGCTCACTCCAATCACGTGGGAACCCTAGCCTTAGTTTGGCTATCGTCAAGATTTCAAGAAGGATCTATTCAACCAGCATTCCACGACATTCATAAAGAAAACGACATCCTCATGCAGCGGCCGAACGAAGATGCGCGGTGTCAGGAGACCTCTGTGGACGATGATTGCGACAGGAACGAATCGATTGCACGAAGTGCTGTGATCCGCACAGAAGTTTTTACCCGGCGTCACGTAAGAAAGTAAAGGTCACGTAAAATAACATGATGATGATAGATATAACAGATAGAAGAATACAATTTAATAGATACAGGGTAACTAGATCGCTTCCCGTCTAGTCTTCTCAATTTTTTCTCTCGAAGGGATTTCTCTCGTCACAATTATGTCTGGTTTTATAAGTTGATAAGTAAGTCTTACGTTTAGTGCAACGTCAAGTCGTTTGCAGATCTGGATCGCACAATGTGGGCTTGGCTTTGGAATGATTCCGACGTCGTTACCGCAGACAACCATGTCTAGTAGATTTGCGATTCCAAGAACGCGCATCTGATGCTCGGTAGCGACTCTGGAACGTTGTGACAATCACGGAACAGTTTTTTTCAGTTTTGTACCATTTTTCAGTTCTTTTAAATTTTCTTTATATGACTGTTCTCACTGTGGAAAAACATCACCAGAAAAGTGCTTTGCTCCCACTCCATTCCATCCTTTCGCTTACACAGCGTGTTTCAAATGTACACGGTATATGCGGCTGCATGTAAGTGCTCACATCGCCTATTCTAACGACTAACGAACTAGATCCAGGAGAATATACATTGACAGCGAAACATAGATGATGAGCCGGTCATATAATGAGAACAACAGACGACAGGTGGACGAAGAGAACAGTAGAGTGGACACCAAGAAAACGCAAACGTCCCCTTGGACGACCACCTACGCGTTGGGTGGACGTGTTCGTAAACAAAGTTAATCAGCTGTACCCACAGCTGCAGTTGTTTTACAGATCACGGTATGAGACTCACAAGCGCTACCATGCTCGAACAAGACCACCACAATGGACTACGATTGCGAGAGAAAGGAACGAATGGCACATGTGCTGGGGTCCGCACAGCTCGTGAGGGCGGACCGTCCAAGTAAGTAAGTTTCCAAGTAACGAATTAGGTGGCAGTGTCATTCAACTACTTTTCGTTGTGAACGTCGAGTTTCCCTTTAGGTAATGAGCACGAAAGAATTTAGTGCAAGGTGGCCATTGCTGTCTTCCAGCTACCAACTACTTTTACCTATCATTTTCCCTGGGAGCATTGCTACTCAACCATATTTACTTATTAATCTACTGTAGGATTGAACTGGTACGCTGGATAATACCACAAGAAAGCAGACATTTAAAATATTTAACCTTACATTTCGCCAGATTTTATCTAATTGCCTAATTGAGAGCGTCAGTAACGTATGCTATTTGAATCAAAAGATGATGACAATGTTATTAAAAAGGGTTAGGTCTATATGGACTTTGGTCTCGTAGAGTTCTTAGCTTTGCAAGGATAAACTGCAGTAACACTTGACACAGGTAATAACATGCAATACCAACATCCCTTTCGACCAGATTGCTAGTGAATTGATAAGCTACCTGCTATCAGCGGTGCATAGAGCCGTTTTGCATCCTAGGGAACGAAGTTCACGAAACAGCTTCTGAAGATCGCAGACTGGAGCCGTCTGTCCTTTCGACGCTTCCGGTACTGCTCTCTCAACAATCGCATCCGCATCGATGGCACTTATTCCAAATGTCTGGAGTTGAATAAGTATTTTATAAAGAAGAAATAAGGATTTATAATTCTACCAATGTGCAAAACGGAAAAAACCCAGGAAAACAAGTTCGAAACAGGTTTGCAAAAAACTGTAAGACATTCATGGAACGAATTTTCCGTGTTTATCCCTAACATTGTCAAATTTGGTAGCAGCCTTTAGGGTGGCGGTTAAAAGTTCCTTGCCATGAGCACAATGGTCCCTTGTTCCATCCCATTTCTTTAGGCAGCTTTTTTTAAAAATAATCTAAAACGTTTCGTTTCACACTGTAAACTCTAAGCATATATGTAGTATCGGCTGTAATCTTCGATAGTTTGTTACGTCATTTTGGTGGTGGAACCTTCCTGAGTTTCGAAACCCACTTTACCGCAGTGCTTCATCTCCTTCACGTTCACCCAAAACGAGCACCGATTCGAGACACCCTTGCAGGTATCAAAATTAGACATAAGACTGTCCCATGGCGAAGCATAGAGAGGCACCCATTATTACTTCATTACCGAAAGCAGTAAATGTGAAGAGTTCAACACCACCAATCTACTGCTCTTCATGTTCTTTGAAGTAAACACAGTCCACTTAACTTCTCTAGGACAAAAACACACTTTACTAGCCATCTTTCTAGTAAAATAGTGATTGACTCGATTTCAATTAGTAAGCGTAGAAAGCGTTCAGCGTTGATCAATTTTTCAGAGGTATGTCATGCAATCTGCTTCATCCGTTGCATCATAGTTGTAGTTCAATGTATATCTGACCCATACGACTTCCATGAGTCCACCGATATATCAAGTAAGGGTGATTTTCTTCCTGCATAAGACTAGTGATGTTTTGCCGATCTGCGAAGATAGAAGGCTTAGTTAGCGCAGGCGCGGGACTGAACCAGAGACCGATTCAGTGTCTACCAATGTATAATACAGGTCACTTCTAGCCACTGCGCCACACTCTCCTTATTTGGTAAACAAACGTTATTACTAACTTTATGTAATACATAACAAAGTCAGTTGTACATTCGCAGAGTATTTTTCGGATAATCCCAACAACAGAATGTTTACCAATAATAAGAATTAGTATACCTGGAGAGTAGCAGAGACGTCAGCACGTATGCCAGTCAGTGTCTTTTCTGCCAGTGCTCCCATTGACACCTATAATATCCGTTTTCAGAACAGAAAGACACCTTCGAACTTTACGCAGTAAGATAGTCTCCAAAAAAATTTTATTGGAGCTTTTGGTGAATCGCAGTACAGTTCTTATTTTTCACCTACTTTACCACTGTATACGTGTTATCGTTGAAATTCAGTAAGTTTTATAGAGGGATAAGTGAAGCAATAACGAAAATCTCAGCATAGATGAAATTTAAACGCAACACTATAGTAAAAGTAAAAATAATAAAAAATGTGTTAGCTGCCCAGTTGTTTACTTTTATGCATTTCTTGCGGTTGGTAATTCTATAAAGGATAAATAAAAGATAAAGCTCTCGACTTTGACCAATCCCTGAGGGATGCGCCGTGCATTCGACTTCATTAAGTATCGTTTGGAGGTGATTGAATGCATATCTGGCCTTTACAACGACTCGCGGTGTCTTGCTGATTTATTGAGCCAGTGCTGCTATCCTCCCAAACAATTTTGGTACCAATTTTCTGACCCCGGAGAGATAGAAGGCTTCGTGGGCCATGAGCGCGTGGATCGATCCCACGTGTTGTTTTGTGTTGCAGGGCGCTTCCGAACACTACCATATTTTACAATCATTTCCAGTATGGTGACTTACGAATTAATTAGGTGGAACTGAAAGAAGGAGTGGATTGAACAGGTGTAGTTGGACTTCCTCTTTGGTTTACTACTTCATTGTGAGCGATAAGTGTAAAAACGGATGATGATTTGAATATAAAGCAGAGTGTACACCTGCTCAGCATGGTCACCTAAGCTATTAAGTAATTCGACATTTCCATTTTGAAGCACGGTTAAAGTGAAACCCGGCTATGCCGGCCACGCTAGAGTCTAAAAGGCCTAAATCGGTGCGCAGAGTTGAGTACCTGCCAAGGATAGAGAAAATAGAAGGGCCTCATACCGAGATGTCCTCGGTATCTCCCACATGTGGCGGAGTCCATCAAGCAAATTTGCCCCCATAGAAGGAACAAGTGGAGACCTCAATAGCGTTTTTGAGTTACTCGATGACTAAGGGATACAGGGAATGCAGGTAAATCGGCAAAAAAGAATGGATGCTGAGCTGTTCAAGTATTGCTCATCATTTCCTGTGTTGACCTTTAGTGCAGCTATTTTCGATACATTTTCGCAGTCGTGACTCCAATTCCTAAGCGAGCTATTTGTTCGGCAGAGCATAATATCATCTGCAAACTCAGCATCTGCTACAGTTTTATTTAAGAGCCGATGGAAAGGGTAACGCGTTACCAATGTCACTGCCCATCCATTAGCATCACCCCTTTAGGAGAATGACGCCTTAAATCCCGTGAGATTTCTCCTCTAACATCAACAAATGATGTCATTTGAGTGATAACGAGGTTTCTTTCGAATATTACAAGTGGATAAAAACACCGAACCATCGCCAAATTGTCAGGTCTTCTTGTTATTCCGAAGTCGAAGTTTAGAAATATAGCAACAAAAAGTTATTGCTGTCTTTTCTAAAGGAGGTACTTGTTTCTAAGTTATAAGACATTCAAATTATTGCAAAGGAAAGACAGAATAAATTTTTGCAAGACATAAAGTCCGTAAAGTCTTCCGCCCGTGTCACCTGTGATCCCTTTAACCATCGATAGGCACCATTAATCATTCGTCCCCGTTGGCAACCATAACAACCTAGCGGTCTCCGGCGTGTTGAAGGTAACAAAGATCATCACACACTTGCTATGGATCCCTTTATTTTCGCTGTTCGTAGTGCTCTTTTTTCAAGAAAAAGAGCTAAGGGTAACTAAACAGGCTCCCACGTACGACTTTCTATTAACGGAATTGATTTTTATTTCTTTATTTATTTAAGTACAAGTTGACGTATCCGAAGGGAAGGCGGAAGGCGAAATCCGCCGAAACGTCAGCTTGTTCGTAAATAAATAAAGAGATGAAATAAAACCTCGTGTTTGCTGAGCAGAAATAGAAAAAATCATTAAATAGGTTCCGTTGTTGCGTAGCCTTAAAGTCAAGCCCCAGGTTGAATATGTGGAAATCATTCCCAACTTGGAAAATCTTACTGGGGTTCCGTTCCAATTTTTTAAGCCTTCAAAAGCTTGTGGGATTGCTGATAGTTGAACCGCTGAGTGAGATACAACGGGGCACGCCACATCGAGACGAAGAAGAACAGTGAGCTATCGACTCGGATCATCGGTTCTGATGAAGACGAAGACGTCGAAACGTTAGCCGAATAAAAAATGTTTATCAACCTCGTGTAAGTTTATCAAAGGAAGAATACATATTGCCCAGCAGTTTTTATTCTGATCAGTGTTTATTTCAAAAAAAGGTGGAAAGTTAAAATCTGGCATTAGTTTTCGGACCTGCTAATACTTATATAACATCACCTGCCCATTGTTCTCGAATAGTGCGCTAGTCAAAAGCTTCAATGTTTAGGTGTTGGTAAGGCTACCAGAGTCTTCCTTTTTGGACCCAATAGGAATTCCGAGAAATTCAAAAGATTGAAGAAATCTATTTCACACATTCTACACCACTGGATTTCCATCTTTAACAACTCTTCAACACTATGAATTCTATCGTACTGCTAATTATAGTATCAATTGGGCTGCAAAAATAAGTACAGTGCTTTGTCATCCAAACATTTCTTCAGAACAATAGTTTTTCTAATCGATAGCTATGTTTCCCATGGCGACGTCTCCAGGTTCTGCCACTCAACTTACAATGACTTTATGATAACTCACCTTTCCCTGGATAGGATCAACTCCGAGTGTTTTGTACACAGCCGGCCCAACAGGTCGTCCTGTCGCGTTTTCTAATCTGGATGAAACAAGTAATACTTTTGATAATTTAATAGATCTCAGCAATTCGAAACTTTTCCTCAGTGTCTATTCATGGCGAATCTTTTTGCTGTCTTTCAGTCATTCTCCTACGAAATGTTCGACATTGGAAATGCAGATAAAGACTCCAACTTTGATTGACGTCATGGGCCAAATTTTTTTTAGCGCCAAGGAGCATTTCGAGTAAAAATTCTCTCCTATCGAGAATTACCGTGTGGCATGATAAAGCTTTTTTTCGATTTCCTACGATGAATAATGACTGTAGGATTTTCGTTTTTTCTTAAATATCACAACTTTATTTCATTCATACCTTTCTATGAAGCCATACTGCTGCTTTTCTTGAAAAAAGTGAGCCTTCGCTATGAACTTTTTTTATCCCTAAGTGTGAGGTATTTATAGAGTTATCTGATGCTGAAAACCTCTCATTGGGTGTGGAGAAAAGAGATTGGAGTTGAGAGAATAACCAAAAATATCCTTGAAAAATTTACTAAAAACAAAAACGGGCGGTAAAGTGAAAGAATTGCGTTCATTTTAACTGATGGAAAAATTACGAGGTCCGCTTTGAATGAATTTCAGTGAAGGCTCTTCTATGAATACTCACAGCTGTACGGTCTCCTCGGCCCATGGCAACCACATACGATGAAAGTCGACCAGTGTGCCATCCTTGTCGAAGATCACCAACTTCACTTCATTATCGACCGTCATCTAGAATGAGAAGAGCTATCATATTGTTTAAGACCCACAGAAACACAAAGAACTTCAATACGTTCAGATTTCGATGATCATGGAAACTTTCGGGTGTTTACAGATGAAATAAGAAGAAATGAAATCATAATCCTTTAGGAAACTGCATTTTTTACTTTCAACAAAGACGGAAATGAAGAGTAAAACGAACGTTTTTGATTTAGTTCAAGAAAAAAGAGGTGTAGTAAAAATTGAACACTAAAGTGGATGCAGAAATTTAAAGAGAGCATGAGATTCCTGTGAAATGAAAGGTCAACGGAAAAAGTTCACCGATGGAATTGAAAGTCTTGTTAACTTTTATTTTATTTTATCATTATTTATGTGTCCCAGCACTTCCGACATTCAGTTCATTTCCTCACATCCATTATTTGCAATGATCTCACAACTTTAAGTGTGGCTTCGGTTGCCACTTGAGGATTTCATTTCATCTAGAATGGCGCGTGTGGCGCAGTGGTCGCAGGCGCCCTGCAAACACACACGATCACCGCGCCCATGGCCCACCAGGCCTCCTATCCCTCCGGGGTCGCCAAATTGATACCAGACGTCTGGGAGGATGGATAGCAGCACTTGCTCGATATATCGGTAGGCCACCGCGAGTTATTGTAAAGACCAGATATGCATTCAGTCACTTCCAACGTTGCTTAATGAAGTCGTATGCTTGGCGCATCCCTCAAGGATTGATGAACGCCGAGAGCTTTATCTTTTTATCGAATGTCGTAGAATGCTGGCCGAGCAATTCTCCCTGGAGTCCTGAGACAGCCGAGCTGGATCGTCCCCAATTGAATTGAAGAGAGTGATGTTTTCCCAGACAAGTCTGGTGCCAATTTCCCAGCTCCCATGGTTGAGAGACTTGGTTGGCTTGGAGCGGAATTGAACTAGCACCATGCTCGTGATGTTGAACATCACCACCACTACGCTCCCCGCCCCATTTTTGGAATATTGCAAAGTAAAATGTTATCAAACGTAAACAGACTAAGGAAATCATCTAAGGGTTCTACTAATGTGCATAAAAAGTGAAAATCTTATGAAATCCATTGAAACAGTTCTTTCTGGAACCAGAAAACTTCGTCGAACCAGGGATATTTTGAAATTTTCCGCAAACGGAAATCATATTTATCGTAAAAGTAGTTTCTAATGAGGACGAAGAGGCTTACAACTGATGTTTGAGAACGCATCCTTATATCCTGTGAAGTTTCTTTGATGAAGCAGAACGAAGAAATGAAACTTAAAATTGCAGAACTGATAGCTCGTCTGCAAGTATGGGACTTCATAAGAAGTTAATCAAGAATATTTTCGTCAATATAGGCGAGAAATGCAACAGTTCTTAGTGTCAAACATTTGATAAAAGCACATCATGAAGAGACGAGTTTGTGAGGAGAATAAGGCGGAACTGGAATATAAGTCAATGGCGTTTACAGTAGTCTATGACGGTTTACTAGCGTGCTACGGTAATTGATTGAAAGAAAAACCCACGAATGGGAGCACATTGTGTTGTTTGTATTGCGGCCATTCCGATTAACTTTTGGCTCTTTTGAGCACTAATCATTGAAAAGCTGTCTAAAACAATTGAAAATATTGTTAAATTCTTCAACCTTTACAGTTTTCCAACTTCAGGGCCGCATGGCCTGCATGAAGGCTTGGAGAAATCAAATGAGAGCTAAAGCTTTATGAAATCATTGCTTGCTGATTCTTACCATGTTCTTCCATCAAGTCGTCTATAACTTCTAACCGGAATTATAATCTACTGACGATTCCACAAGTTATGATCGAAATATAAGTGATAACCGAAACCGCAGACAATAATTGTTGGCTGGCGAATATCTACTGAATAATGAACAGATATGCTTCATCTTTGGTCAGCGTTCATGTTCTAAACGGACCATATTTGAAGAGGAAAACGTATGCCTCTGTGGTAGACTTCATTAGACAAAACGAAGCCTTTCAAAATATTAAGAAATAAAGAGGTGTCCTGGTTGGGTGACTGTTTTTCATCGAGGCAACGAGTTGAGTTTTAGTAAGATTTGGTTTCGAAATCGATATAGAGACTATTTGCTGCAAATATCTGATTTTAAAGAAAGGTTCAAACCTTTATAGCTTTGTTCTAATGTGTGAAGTATGCGAAGCCCACTGCTTGGAGACACCCTACGATACATCCGTGAATCATGGTTCAACTCTGCACGAAGCCAACCGAGATCCCCATCCTCGGGGACCGAAAAAATTAACCAAGCTTGTTTGAGAAAAGCTCTCTTGGATACGAAAATGTTGGCAGACTTTTCTCTTACTCAAACTTGCAAATGCAAGCGTAGAGCTATTCAAGGATTCTAAACGGAGCCAATTCGACTAGCACGCGAAGACATTCATGAATAAGATAAAATCCTCAAGTAGAAGCTAAATTTAAACACAAATTCAAAAAGCTTTGAAGGTGGTGGCTACAAGACAGCGAACGGATTGAAAGCAGTAGTGGATCTACCCGACAAAGGCAGGCAGTTCATAAAAAATACCAGCTTATCATTCGGGCAAAAACCAATGTAATCGATATACTATCTCGAAACTCTTACAAACAGAAGGATTCATAAGCAGAAAGGTTCGGGTCTTCCCACCTCATCAATATATTGCAAATCATGCTGACTTTCTTATCGTAAAAAGTGATTCGCCGCGAAAGAAGTTTCCCAGATGTTTTTAGAACCAGTGATTAGATAAAGATCATTGTCTGATGTCTCATTGGCCGTCTGAAGCAAAGCTTCGTATTCGAAGTCGTTCAGCTTCTGATTCACAACATGTGAAACTTAAGAGCGTTCATTGTCCTACGCCGCTGTTGACTTTTTTCAGAGGTCTAATGAGAGGTAATTTTCGAACAGCTTCTGGTGCTATGAATCGAGTAACCTCTTTTTCCAGCACCACTACACTGCTGAAGCTTTCTTACGTTTGCTCCTAATAAGTAATAAATCACAGACTTCATAAGGTTGTAGTTGGATTCGTGTGAAATTCGCTAAGCAAGCTCTTTCACTTTTTCGTGGTTGGCGATCGTGAGAATTCCTTCAAATTCACGTTTGTAGCTTTACTCTGCGGTCATGTAGTAAGTTTCCTCATATTCATTTCACTCAATATCTTCATTTCTTCAAAATCAGTGAGAACGATGGCCCCCAGTTATTCAAGGCCTTGTTTTGGTGGATTTCCGTCTTCAGACTCGATTTTGTTGTTATTTTGATTTATTTCAACTGGTTGGTTCTCACCCATCGACCCGCGTGAGCAACACTTGGGTGTTCACACACACACACACACACACACACACACACACACACACACACACACACACGCCGAATCCTCAGCCGTTGAGCCACAGCAACAACAATAATGAGGGATACCAACCTCGCTTCAACTCAATAAGCGAGTCGTCAACCACATGCGACTATAATCAGCTGCTCTAAACTTCCTCATTGGAAGTCACGAAAAAGCGGCTCTGAAGAAGGCGATACTGCCGAAACGTCAGCTAGCGTTGTATTGTATTGTGTTTTTTATGGAAGTAAATGTATGCTGTTTAAAAACCTCGCGATTGCTGAACAAGAAAACGACACATTCAATAAGCGCAGTTCATAAGGACGTAAATACGTATACTGGCCGTTTAGTGGAATTTATAGTCTCAAAGAACATGAACGCTATGGCAACTGTAGTTTGAAGTTTTAAGGCCCTCGTTCTTAGAAGTTCTTTGATGAGCCTTTAGAAACAAGAGTTCGATGAGTTTTGCTTCACTTCGATATCCCGGAGGACTTCATATCCATGACGAAGCGGTAAACCCTTAGATACTACAGCTGAAGCTATCAAAAATAGGATTAGCAGAGTGAAAGAAAGTTGTAGATTGTCATGAAAAGCAGGGTTTCGGAAAGGTTTTCTTCCTGGTTTCTAACTTATTTCCGAACCACATGCCGGCGAGATCACGGATGAATAGCTTTACTAGTGCGGCGAATGGCTTAGTCAGTTGACAAGCCAATCTTGTGAGGTGTTTTTTTCTTCTGTCGTTTAACTCAATTTTTAATGCCAACTCACTAAACGCTTTGATTGGGATTGCTAGCAGAGTAGAGAAAAAGCGCTGAACAATATGTTCATTAAGAAAAGCCCTAGTAGAACGGAAATTATGTGAATCCGAGCAGAGCATTAGACAAGAAAGAAATGAGAGGTGGATACTTATTTACAAATGCTTTATCCCAGGAACCTTAGTTATTAAGATTGCCCGTCCATAGATGAGGTTTCCAGAGGTTTCACTGTCTTGAAACCTTCACGCATAGATGTTCTCGGATTGGGGTATGAAATCCGCAACAGTTTGATAACCTGTACTCTCCTACTTCCATCTTGGTCCAGCGTCGTTTTGCCTAGAATCCTGATGCAGGATATCATAAACAGGCTCTGACTTCTCTGGCTTAAGTGGAGGTTTGCTGCACATTGAAGCGAGGATTCTTCTAGAACGACAGTGGCTCCTGTGACTAGTGGATTGATGAGAAGAAGACTACATTACAATTTTAATGCTCAGGAATATTTTCCTCCATTACATTTAGAAAACGAAACCAACAAACCAATAGAAAAATTATGAAATATCGAAATTTTTGACGTTAGGAATAACCTATTAGTTAACTCATTAAGACTTTATGTTATTCTGATTACTTTTACATGGTATTCCTGTTGAGCAAACACGAGGTGTTATTTTATTTCTTTATTTACCTACAAGCTGACGTTTCGGCGGATTTCGCCTTTCTCAGAGTCTGGAAGGGCCAAGCTGACAGCAATCTATTCGGCCAAGCACCGCCATAACCAAACAGAAAAAGTACTAAACCACGAATTCAATCACGTTGAGCACAGAACAGCTTCTTTGCGCACTCACCGGTTTCTATGAGTCTTCCCCTGAGTGTCGCGTGGGTGCCAACCACGCAGAATTCACATCGAAGCGTAATGTGCCCCTCGCGTCAGAA